CCCCCCCCCCCCCAATCACTTTCTCTTCTGTGATTGCATTAAGTAGGAGTTTTCATCAAGGAGAACATCCATCACGCAAGCTAGCACAGCCCAGAAATGCTCTTTAAAGCCATGTTCCTTTGAAGTGGTAAACTGCTTCTATGAAGCATGAACTAGGTAACCTCAGGGTGCTGTTACCTGAGCTGACTTCTCCAGAGAAGGGGTGGGACTAACCACAGGGCTTTTGGGACCTCAAGTGACAAGTCCTAACCACTTGCCTCAGAGAGCATAGGGAACAAAGGGAACACCAGTAGAAGTTTTTTTTTTTTCCTCCCAAAATATTTCCCTCCCCTAAAGAGAAAAGATGAACAGTAGAATTCAGAAAGTGGGGGGAAGGAAACCCTGGCATCTACCTAAAAGAATGGACATCGGGTAGGAAAATGACAAGATGGTGTCTCTCTTGGGTAAGCAGCCGGCCATGGGAGCCCAGATGTTCGGGCTCTCCAGAACCGTGGGACGTGTGTTCAGTTACTGCCTAATCAAACTTCAGCGTGTCTTAATATACTTTCTGTATGTACAGGTTTGATGAAAAAAGCAGTTAACTTTCCCAAAAGTTATGGAGGACAGAGACAAATACAAATTGCTGTGTCCTCAACCTGAAACAGACACCACCAAGCAGGAGGCCCGGGACAATCTTTCCCGGGCAGCAAGCAAGGATGGGAATGAAAACCACAGGCGAGCTGTCCAAACTGCAGGGCCTTTCAGGCCAATGCGCTGTTCCCTGGCTCCCTTTCCTAGACAAATCTAAAGCTCTTACTTTGCTCCCAAACCTTTCGTGCGGGAGAAAGTAGAATAAAACATAAGCGAGTTTCGGTGCTATTTATACACACTGGACAGCTTATCACAATGCAAGTACTTTTCTAAATTATTCATACCCGGAACGCCGGGAAGCACAGATACAGAGCATCTTTGTTCGTTTGCTCTTCCCCAAACAAAACTGGTGCTGAAGTAGCTACTTGACTGCGACTAATACATACACTAGTGAGAGGGCTGGTGTTTAAACTGATTATATAATACTTCATTAACGCTTTTTTTTTTTTAAACAGAGGGGTGAGGGTGGAAGAGGAGAGAGCAGAGGGAATCAGAAAAAAACCACTTTGCAAACTTCTCTCTCAAAGTGTCAAAGATGAACTAAGTTGTGCCTGCTTCAGGCAATGACGAGCCTCCTAGAAGCACAAACACACTTGATCCTGGGAAGAAAGGAAATAAGCCTAGCTATGAGCTTCCCTTGGTTTTGGACATACCAGGTCATTGCCCCTTGGGGCCATCTTCTTCCTGTCTTATGATTTTTTTAAATAAACATTTACTAAGTACTAAAATACATGGGAGACACTGCTAAACATTAATTATTACTATTTCATTTAATCCTCACAATGACCTTAAGAGCCAGGCATCACCCTAATTTTTAATCAATAAGAAACTGAGGCCCAGAGAACTGTTAATGTAACTTGACTATGAGTTAAACTGCTGAAAAGCAAATATACACATATATTTAAATTTTGCCTCAAAAGGCTAAACTATTAGACTCTCTGACATGTACCTGACCAGGAAACCAATAGGAAAACGAGGTGTCAAGAAACAGGAAGTTCTCATGGGGGAGGCGGTGTTTTGGTTCAAGAACACTTAAATTACCTCAAGGCATATCTCAGTTCCTCCTTTCACCACCCAACCCCCATCAAGTAAAGAGAAAAAAAAGAAATACTGGATTTTCTTTGATTTAAAAAATGTTATTTCTTCTGTAATAGGGGACATCAGTTGCAGTAATAAAATACAGTCACTGGAACACATCTTCCTATATAGTAACTAATTTGAAAGATGTTACTTTTTCATCCCCATCCTGGTGCAAATTTGCTGGAATGTTTCAGGGTGGAGTTAAATATAAACTATGTAAATTAGATCTGCAAGGGCATCTTATTCTGAAATGGTAGGGTTTTTCTTTCAATGAAGTCAGTCCAGGAGAAACAGTAACTGGCTCCTTAATTACTATTTTAAAATAAATTCCCCTTTTTGGCAAGGAAATAGGAAAAAAAGAAAAGAAAAAAGGATTTTGTAATTGGAAAGCAAGTGGCTCCACCAGGAGAAAGGCCACCAACCATCAACCAGCTGTGGGAAAATGTGCCACAGGAAAGGGATCTGAATGGGCACGCCGTGCGAGAACCCCCGAGGCTGTTCCGACAATTAAGCACCATACTTACCACTGGTCATGTGCGATACTTTTGCAAGTTTCTTCATCACATTGTCCAGCCGAGAGTGAGTGCTCTCCAACTCATGGGAGAAATCATCCAGCATACTAGAGAGAGAAGCAGGTGTGGGGAAGGCAGCGGGTAAACACACAGCCTGGGCGATGCATGGGCCATGGGATTCGGTCAGGGCCTAGGCCTTAGTTTTAGCAAACATCAGCCAGCAACACTGGGATTCAAGCCCCCAATCTATTATCTGGGACAGACATGTTTCTTAATTCAGAATTTTTGGAATTTAAACAGGGCCTCAGCAGGGCCTGGGGCAGTCCCCATAATCACACATGTGAATATTTCTGCAGAGAACTCTGAGCTTGGGCTAAGCCAGGGCTCTCAAGGCACCATGCACTCCCCCCTCACAGCAGGTCCCCCTCCTCTGTCACCAATGCATGACTTGCATTCATTTACATAATAGCCAGTCTACCCAGTAAATGGTAGGCTCTCTGATGGCAGAGACACTGACTGTTCTGTTCGCTCCTCTGCGATACCCAGGGCCTCCCTGAACAAGTGCCCGGTTTGAATTTATTATAAATGAATGTATAACACTGAACACAAAATTGAGATAGAAGACTTTCTGATATATTCTAGTAGATTATCTTTTTTTCCCCAGAAAAATATTATAAAATGGTAAAGGTATTATGTAGTAGCATTTAAGAATGCTGATTTTGATGTCATCCTTCAGAGTTAAAAAAGATTGTGCTGAAGGAAAAAACAAATAACTCCAGCTATATTTCCTGGTGTATTTTTACTTTTGATGTTTGAAGGGGAATATTTTGTATTAATTGGAGTTAAATTTTTAAGCTTTTCTCATGAAGTTGAAATGTAAGATGTAGTGGGAGAATCGTGGGATGATAACAGTAGCTCATGTCTGATCCTCTGCAGGACACAAATCTCCAGAGATTACATGTCTGTTTCCCAGTCCCAGTCCCAACCACACTTCAAGTACCTGCTCAGAGGAATTTGAGTGTTTTTGCAGGTGTTGAAAAATAATAATCATCATCATAACTTTGCCCAAACCCTGCTGAATATTTTAACTGACAATTTGCTTCTTTTGGAGGGGCAAGTCTATAAAACAATACAGATGTAGCTATAAATAAAATAGTTTTGGGTTTTACTAGTCACGTAACTGTCAGGCTTGTTAGGGGTCCTGTAAGATGGCCCTTCCCCTCAATTTCATGGCCCCGAGAGGGGCGGTCTCGTGCTCACACTGCCTGTTCCTCCAGCTCCCCTCCGATGCGCTGGGACATATTCTTCAGCACCCCGATGCTGCCAGAGACCAGCTCCAACTGCTCATCCTGCTGCTCCACGATCAGCTGGTGCCAGAGAAATGGGAAACAAGCAATTAAAAGCCGTCTTACCTGGTTCCAAGCCCAGCACTCCAGCAGCTGCTACCTTCTCTGCCAACTTGGGACAATTCTCATTCAGAAGCAAAGCCCAGAAATCAAAGGACCAGACCGGCGCCCCTAAGAACACACTGCTCCAAAGGCTGGATTGTCAAGCTTCTGATAGCTCCTGCTGATCCGACTTGTGAACAGTCAGCGGGGCTTAAAGCCACCAAGAGAGATTGATTCTGGTTGGCTGGAGTCCAACAAGGGACCAGACAATGGCCAAGAGCACCTGTGCAGTGATCACTGAGACACGGGGATGCTGGGCAGAGGAAGCCAGTGCCGGGGTCAGGGTCTCAACACAGCTGACTTAAATACAAAGCTCTGGACGTGGGAAAACCACACACAGAGTCCTTTCCTCCCTCCTCAAGGACACACAGAGGCGGCCTGTGACAGTAAGTAACCTCAAGGATAATTGCTGGATGATAAATGTTTCATTTAATGTGTGGTAGCTTCCTCCTTTTTATTTTTATTTTTTTTAAATTTGCTTGGTTAATAGCAATGTAAGCAGACAGCTGGTTAAGCAAACATGCTAATGGCAAAAGAACATATAGCCTATATAATATATATATATATAACACAATATTTAAGAACCAAGAGCTTCAATGGGTAGATAATCTTCAAATCCTCAGGTATATTATTATTAGTTTCCTTTTATTCCAACTACACGTCAAAAGCAACACAGAGATAATCAACCTCCCTTTCCTTCTACCCTTCACCTCCACTCAAGCAACCATTTTCATGTATAATGGAACCAGTAATAATTTTTGATGAAAAAAAACAGGACTCAATTCTTCTGAAAGTGTGCCTTTGTTGAAATGAACAAGAAACTGAATATATGAGTGGAGGTGGGGGAAGACGTGTTCTTTTGTTTGTTTTTAAACCAGTGGCCTTGTCTGTCAGTTTTGGAGGTCTGGTCTACTTTTCCTCAGAGACCTAATCAAGCTTGGTTCTCGTGAAAGAGCCGTGCTGTAGAGGAGGCTTCAGAAACCCTTGATATATGCAATCATTGCACAGGTAGACACAGGCAGCCGCAGGGCAAGCTCTGGTCCAACCTGCCTGTCATAACAACAGAAGCCCCTGGCTGGCCGAGGACCCAGGGAGGTGCCCGCCTCCACATCTCAGTCCTCAGCAGCGGGTTCCCAGTACCTGTTGCTGTGCCTGCTGCTCCTCGATGAAGTGGGAGTTGGCTAATTGGAGCTCACGGTCCAGGCGCCCGTATTTATCTGGGGTTCCTGTGCTCCACTTCTGGCCACCGCTGTCTCCCAGCAGCGCCTGCGAGAGGGAAGGGGAAACAAGCGGTTACTTTCTGAGCAAGTGCTCCATCGCCGACATAAAGCGTTCTCTGCTCACCATCGCCTTCCCCAGATCCACCTTCACAGTGGTACAGGTTGGTGCCTGCGTGGTCCGATTTAAGGGATGCCAGGAAGGGCACTGTCTCCACACTCTCCCAGTGGGACTCACCAATGGGATTTGTCCCATTAAAATGCAAATGTCAACTTTAAATCGACAAACGCCCATCTGTACACAGCGTTACAATCTGAGAGCACCCAGCCTCCAGGCCAGCTCTGCCTAGCACCCTCGGAAGTTCACCAGAGACCCATGTTCCAGTCCAACGGATTCCAGAGACCTAGAGTCCTGTGACCCAAGAGGTTTTCAGTTTGTTTTTTTAAGGGGGGAAAGAGAGTCCTAGAATGATAAGAAGCTAAGTCATAGTCTCACACACAGAAGGCATAAGAACCATCAATGTCTGTTCAATTTAACCCATGAATAAATCCCAATGCCCCTCAGTTGAACTAAAAGGCTACAAGCCTCACAGACGGGAACTGGGCGTTGCATCACTAGGCAGGTACGGCAACAATGAGTGCCTGACCCAAGTCAGTATCACCACCAGGGCCCTCAGATGCCAGGGGCAGACTCCCCAATAGGAATTCGAGGAAGTTTGTAGCAAGGAAAGGAGAAGTTTGGGACTGTCTTCCGTACATGAAGAGGCGGGCAGGGAGGTGAGCTCGATCTAGGCTGACCAGGATCCCCGCAAGCCTTTCTGACAAGCTGGTAAAGTAACTGCTCGCCCAGCCCTGCACGTGGACCAGCTCCTGGGGTGACCACGATTCTTTTTCCTTACAGAGTTGCCAGTTCTTCTTACCAGCTACTGTTTATCTCTGGGACTGTTAAAAGCCTCACTGATTACTTGGTTCTCTGTCTGAAAAGCCCTCCAACAGCCCCTCAATACCGACACTGACCTCCCTTGACTTTCAGGGGTGAATTCAGTCAAATGGCCACAGTCAGGGGCAAGGCTCGGGGAAGCCTGGGATGCAGAGCATAATTCCAGATGGTTATGAGGAGAGGATCAGGATGCCTGAGAGCTTCCAGCAGACCAGCGCCTCAGTCCAATCAAAAGGCTGGACAGTGACTGTCTCAGGTATAAAACAGAGCAAGGATTTTTTCGGGTGGCTCTGCCCCAGCCTGGTCTTAGGGCTGTCAGTCAAGATTTAAAACATCTGCTGGTCTGATGCAGACTCTAAGGTGCTCTGTGGAGGACACTGAGGCCCATAGTTAATTTCTTCCAGGTCAGAAAAAGGCTCTAGTGCATCATTAGGCTGTGGACAGAGAAGTGGGGCTCCCCTAGGGCCCTGTGTGTTCCTGGGCCGAGTAAAGGCTATTTTTTCTAGCTTATCCATGGGCTACGGTTAGGTGGACATAGGACACACTGTTAAGAGTTGTTTATGCTTTATTGTGCAGTAGCTTAGATTTCATCAGTCTGGCCTCTAAGAGTCTGTTCTACTGGGAAAGAAGATGGAGAGAGGGACCAGGGCACTGGAAGACCAGCCTGTGTGTAGGTCCAGAGCAGGAGGACCTGGCTAGGCAGCAAGCAGCACAGCACCAGGTACTGGCAGGGCAGCAAGGGGGACTCTGCCCGCTTGAGTGCTTAGAGGACCCTGTACCTGCTATTCCTTCACAATCTGTGACTCCAAGACATTTCACTATCCCCCAAAAACAAAATCCCAAGCCATACTTGGAAAGGCAATGCATAAATGCACATATTATATGCTCAACTATACTATCTGAGATTAGGAGTAACGGAGAGTAGGTGTTACCTACTTCACTGTCACAAGGTAGGGAGACAGGAAAAATAAAAACAACAATAACTTGAAAAATGAAACCCAGGGAAAGGAAACAGAAAAATTAAGTGAGGTGATACTTGGAGAGCCCCCTCCCCTTTGCTGAGCTTTTGTATTTATTTTTCAAAATTAAGTGGGTCAAGACACACCTCCAGGTATAAAGTAGGGAATTGCTGATTCCTAGTCAGTTAGATACGGTGAGCTGAATTCTTGAGTTAAGAGTCTAATAAATGGACTATTGGTAACTTTATGGAGTCTGAATGAACTCTAAATCAAGTCTATATTTTAGGTGATGTTGTATATTTTTTTAAAAAGGACTGCATTTTATCAGTTGGAAAGGAATTTCTATCATACACAAAAGTGTCTAATTTTAATAAGATACCTAAAATTCAAGAGCTGGTTTCTTGTAACTTTTATTTTAGATGTGTTAATATTGGTGCTTTGGTTTCAGAAATTTATTAGGTTTCATGAATCATTTGTAATAACTAATAAAAACTGGATCTCATCTCAAAGAAAAGATATTTAAAATGATGAAAGACTTAAATTTAACACATTAAATTCACACACATTTAAGATTCTTCAAATGTCTTTCATTTTATTCTAAATTTCATAAAATTTCAGTTGTTAACTATCTAGTGAATTCTATGAGGTATGCAATGCAATAGCAGCTGGAAATGAAAAAAAAACAACAAACAAACAAAAAGAAAACCCCACCAACAAAAAAAACATGACACAATCCCTCCTCACTCTCAAGGAGCCTGGGGTCCAGCAGAGAAAAAGACAAGTAACTAAGCAATTACAGCCCTTAACAGAACCTGGCACACAGAATGTGCCCAGCAGGTGCAGAATAAATGGCTGTGTGGTAAGGGCACTCTGAACCCCAGAGGAGAGAAGCAGAGGGTGGGAGGGAGGAGGGCAGGGCAGGACAGCTGACCATGCTGCAGGGCAGGCTGATGACTGGCCTTTCACAAAACCTGCCAGCCTCCCTCCAGGCTCAGCAGGCACAGGGCTTCTGCCGGATCACATGATACACAGATGTCAGCATCTAACTCTGCGTTTTCCTTGATTTGATACTCTATATTCAGGTTTACTCACCTGTCTGTTTTTTCTTTCAGCTAATGCCTGCACAGATGAAGTTGACATCTGATCTTTCATGTCCTAATGAGGTAAGGAGGAGACCAGAAAACAAAAGAATATCCTTAGATGAAACAGAGTCACAGTTAACATTTTGTACACTAGCAAAATACACATAACTTATTAATTTTTTTAAAACAAAAAGATAACATTCTTTGGCTTTTTTTTTTAGTCTCATAAATAAAGGAAATAAAGAGAACCTCCCTTTAAAAAGAGGTAACCTGGGCACTAAATTTAATTAGGAGAAAAGAGAAAAGGAACTTGTATTTCCTGGGAACCTACTATAAGCCAGAAACACTGTTAAATGCTTCCGCACATTATCTCTGAATTCTCACAACGACCCTATGAAGCTGGCATTGTCTCTATTTTACAGCTGAAGAGACTGACATCTAAAAAGGCTTAAGGTACTTTCTCAAGGTCACATAGTCAGAAAATGGCAACCTTGGGGCTCAAACACAAAGGCCTGTGCTCAAGGGCTAGCATCATCAAGTATAATGAACACCCATGCGCTTTAGGATAATTACCACTAAACACCTGCAAAAACTTCCAAATAGTGATATGACAAACAGGTCACTTATTTTATTTTTGAGTTGGATTCATGTGAAGTGCAGACTATTTCTAACCAGAGTGAATTTCCAGAGTGGCATTAGAAATAATTTTGTATGGAAAGAAAAATGAATAGACCCATTACTTACAATGAAGAAAAATCACTTTGCTAAATATGAGCCATTTTGCTTATCAACTGTAACCACAATCCAATATACTTTATAATGATTTGAACTGAGTACTATACAAATTTTTTAAGGCTGCCAAAATACTTTATAATTTTCTGTTGGCCGGGAGACTATTTTATAGATGCAAATGTTGAGGTTTTAGGCTTTTGGAAACTTCTTCTAAGACCCATGACAAGTGAATGGGAGAGCAGACAGTGCCACAGCTTTCGTAAGTCCCACTGTGGAAAGTCTGAGTGATAACCACGTTGCTTCAACTTTCAAAGTACCCACTGCTTCCTTCTCTTCTACAGGACTTCAGCTAGACTTTATTTAAATTAAAACAAGGATGATGAACAACCCTAAGTATTCAGTAGGATCATATATAGCTGAGGATGGTTTATATCTCAGCTCTAGAAGCTACAACATTATGTTGCTCGGACTTGATTTACAACACTTCTTTTAAGGATATCAGAAAACAAACTTTGGATTCTACTTCAAATTACAATTTGAAGTAAGAACTAACTTAACTTTCAATATATTAACCTCTGAATTTCAATTTGCAAGATTTACAATACAACCTTTCAGAAAGAACAACTTTAATAAATAAGGTCAAGAAATACATGTTTTACTGCAAGACACCATTTAAATACCAACATTTACAGCGGTGTCCTTCAGAAAATCTACCAAAAATAAAGAAGCAAACTGTATTTATAAGATTAATATGGGGGAATTATTTACCTTACCAAAACATACATTATCAAACAACAGGGCTTCCTTATCAGAATAGCTTTCTGAACTGGCCAGAAATTAGGATTGTCTAATCCAAATGCCCATTATATAGATGGGGCACACCAGAGGTCCAAAGTGGTTACCGCCCCATTAAAATGTTTGTGTATAAACAATTTAGATATATGTATATAAAGAGGCAACTAATGAATAAAATGAGAAGCAAGAATATTTCAAGCTCAGGGATAATCTACCATTTGAAATAATTTCAAAAGGAAATCACATGACATAAAGTTTTTGGCAAACATGTACCAAGGTTCCTGCCTAAGATGACTCTTAAAAAGCCATATGTTAGGACTGATATGATCCCAAGTTTTTTTACTCCAGGAAGCTGCTTTCTAGTACATATGTTCAAGACAGCTGGTTCTCTTACATCTAGTTATGCTAATCAAATGGCTTAGCCATACAGTTTCAAAATACAAACAAATCTTAATCATACAAGATTTGACTTAAATGCTATTTTCTCTCAGGTTTTTAAACAATGGGTTCTTTCCTAAATAATTGGAGACTAAATATTTGTTCACTTGTGTGGGGTTTTGCGCTCTGAGAGATGCCTGCTTGCTCTGGGTAACTCTCGAAAGCCTGTCAGGCAGTGTATATGGAAATGTCGGTAACGGTGGCAAGAGTTCCCGAAGCTGAAACTCAGATGGTGAGAGACCGCCATCCAAACCTGGAAGAGTCCCTCTTCACAATGCAGTGATCACCAATCCATCAAGAAACCAAATGGTTTCTACAATAGTAATTCTTCCTTTAGTCCAGATACAGAGTACAGTAAGAACTAAAGAGGAAAAAGATAACTGGTTTGGAGGAGTGAGAGGTATGGACAAGTAGATACCACTGAAGTAACTTCCCAAAGCCAGCAGTCAACTCTCATTTCTGCTCTAAGAAATATGCCTGATGATACTAAAGACAGATTTCTCTCTTTCAACTAGAGAAAGTCTATGTGGGAAACTGGCATTCAATTCATATGAAGAAGTGGTTTCAGAGTCGACGTATTAGTTTACAATTAAGGGAGAGTTCTGAGAATTTTGGCTATTTCTCACACAAATAACATGATAAGATCATCTTCCTTACCCTGACAACTTGCCGAGTACTCGTGATGAAGGATTTTCTTATACTCAATTCAGTTGCGTCGAGATTGAATTTTCTAGGATTTGCTTCAACTATGCGTGGGTCAAAAAGTCAAGGGAAAGCCATGTCATTACCACAGCCTCACAAACACATTCCCTTAGACCACAGACTCTGTCACAGGCAAGCAGTCAAGTCTGCCCAAGGCTTCTGGAAAGACGGTCAACTTGGCACTCATGTTCTCAGACTTGCTCTGCCCACAACTGTGGGAGGATCCTGTGCCTCAGGGTGGAGACGCCTGCCAGGGGAAGACCCACAGGCCTGACTGGGTCCACAATAAAGCCCTGCTGGCTGACCACAGCTGGGCTGGGCTCTTCCAGATGTTGACCAGCACTTGTATCTATTCTTTCTTGACCCCAGATCACCTTTCCCATGACAGCTTTTTTAAAAAATAGTTTTTTATTAATTTCAGAGAGAGGAAGGGATAGGGAGAGAAAAATAGAAACATCAATGATGAGAGAATCATCGATTGGCTGCCTCCTACACATTCCCTACTGGGGATCAAGCCCGAAACCAGGGCATGTGCCCTGCCTGGGAATCCAACCATGACCTCCTGGTTCGTGGGTTGACACTCAACCTCTGAGCCACACCAGCCAGGCCTCCCATGACAGCTTCTGCAAGCCATTTCCATTTGCCATTAAACCTTCCCACTTATTTCAAGGTGCTAACCCTTCTTCATCTGGAGATTGAGGCCTCTTCAGCAGGGCTTCCCCCAATCTCCTCACGCCCGGCCTGGTCCTGCTGCCCACGTCAGACACTGGCATGACTCCCTGGACTTGTCTCTCATGGTCTGCAGGACACATCTGTGCTATTATCTTAATGTCTGTCCCCGAATCCTTCTCTACCCCTCACTGTCATTCCATGAGGGCTGGTACGCTGTTTTGCTTATTAATCCAATCTCAGTAACTAACAAAATGTCCAGCACATGGTACAGTCAATAACTATTCGCTGGTTGGTGACTACTTATTAAAACTTTTGTCCTCTTTCTTTCATACTATCTCCCCCAATCTTTTTATCTTGCCCCGTTTCAAGGGAAGACTTATCTTGATCCCACCCTCTCACATATTTTGTCTCACTCATTTTAGAGAACACACTTGTCTTTTCATAATTTAAAAGGTGCCTGGGGTCATTATGATGACTAGAAATGATGCATTTCACACAATGGCTGCATGTGAACCTGTGCTGACTACAGAGTGTTCCTGACAAGGTCTGGTTTCCTTGATGCTTTATCACACTTAAACAAACAAAACAGAACCCAGAACATACACCTGGTGTGTCTTCAATCTAAAGTTGTTATTAAATGGGATTTTTCCAGTGGAAAAGGCCACGTCATTTCAGCTTCTACAGGGCTCTGGTTTGTCGGTCAGATCAGTGGACTTCTTTAACATCAATAGCATCACTTAGCATAATAGTTCTTTTACTAAACGCTGTTTCGTGAAAAAAGATATTTCTCCAATGGACATTGTCACGTCACTTCCTCAACAGGAAAAAGGCAGTCTACAAAAGGAATTTCTTTTGAGCTCCAATTACCAATATGTAACATCGGTCTGTATGTACCTCTATGTAGTAATGACTACTAACACTTTTATAGAAGCTCACTGTGTCAGGCACCATTCTAAGCTCTCTGCCTATTAAACTTTCAACAACCCTATGAACTAGGTACTATTATTATCCTAACTTTCTACTGGAAAGGAAATTAAAGCACAGAGCAGGGTGTTCACAGTCACACAGTAACTGACGGAGCCAGGACTTAACACACAGACTGACTCCAAGGTCCGAACGCATGACCACTGCACTATGCTGCTGTGTTGCAGGATCGCCATGCACTAGAGAAGATCTTGGCATAGAAATAAAAACAAGATCAATCAATTATAAAAGGAAATGCCCAAAGTACGTGATAAGACATCTGGGTAAAAACGTGTTCATCTGTCTGTCTGCCCCAAACGGCACGACAGCATGGAAAGGATATTGATGGTTTCGTCCAGGTCCTCTAGGTCCCACTCTATGCTCCGGAGGTTGTTTCTCAGCTCGTTGGTGGTCCAGTCGATTTCCTCCCTTGTGGCCGTGGAAGGGTCCTGGAGGAGCTCTGTCCATCTCTGAAACAACCCCTGGGCAGTGTTGACAGCTTTCTGTACCTCTCTGTAATCAGGTAGAAAGTAGAAGTGTCACAGACAACATGTCCCATAAACAAGTTCCTGCATGACTTACGTGAACATTATGGTCACACACCATCCTCAGCAGCAACCACTATTCCCCAAAGTGTCTTAAAGTCTTTATAGAAGGCTCTTCAAGGGCAAATATCAAAGTTCAAAACTCTAAAGTAACAGTCTAAGTATCATATTCTCAGCTGAGGTCCAGAATAAAATAGACATTATTTAAGCAGCTCTAATATCAAGTTTGTTTGAGAAGGACAAAAAGTTAATTATGCTTCGAACACACTAAGCTTAACACAGTATTAGAAGCAATACTACAAATTAACTAAAGAGCCATTAACATTTATTTTCTTGGGGAAGGAGGTGAGGGGGAGGTAAAAAGGGCTACTCAGTTAATCTTTTAGAGGTAAAGGATTTTTATTTGGGACATTTAAAAACCCCAAACCTCATTAGAAGATTCCCAACAGTATTAGTTCCTGGACTTAGCAATGCTGTCAAGCAGATTCGTGTGTTTCTGGGTCAGAGAGAGACTAGGTCATAAGTGCTGTGACCAAGTATTCTTTTACCTTAAATAATGTCACAAGGTTTTAAAAACTTTTCCCCCACCATTGGGTCAAAATCCACTAGATAAATGTTATAATCTAACACTACCACATATAAAAGCCAAAAAAGGTGTCATTTTATAATTGTAGTAGAGGCCTGATGCACGAAATTTGTGCAAGGGGCTCAGCCCTCGCAGCCCCGGCTTCGTCTGGACGGTCGTTCCACTGTTCGGCCGTCTGGTCTAATTAGCATATTACACTTTTATTATTATAGATGGTCTCTTGTGTACAAAGATAATGACTTGACTGCTCCCAAACTAAGAGATCGGTTCTGATTTTTCTATCATTTCTTAACCAATTCTTCTGTGTTCAATCAGGGTGTTTGTTGTCTGTAGCTTTAAATCCATATTTGTATGCATCCGATTCCCGCTGACATTTCAAGTGCCAGAAGAGAGAACACTAACAAAAATGAAGAAAAGTGTCTGACAATATTTTGTCTGTGGAATACTGATGAGCAAAAAGGATGAGTGTTCAGTAGAGAATCATATAGCTGCTGGGCCCAAGCTGAATACATCACTGAGCTCCACGGCCTGCAAAGCATCTACCAAGGTACATTCATACCCAGTTTACGTGCTGGGCAAGTGCTCTCATAGTTCCTCTCCCATCGGCCTTTGCTTTCAGTCCTAATGAGAAATTCCATTTGAGACAAGCAGGGGAAGGCCTAAGGAAGTGAGATGTAAATCCACTATCTTTGCTCTTTACCGAGATTTCCGGCTGATTTGGTGGAGAAAGAGGTACACTCTTCCCATACCACGAGGCACTGGGTTTATTTGTAAGTGTGGGACATCATCTACAATAATGGGAAGACAGAGCGGGATCTGGACCAATATCTCATTTTAAAGGATGTAAAATTGACCAATTCTGTACAGTAAATACAAATTCCTTTTTGAGAACTAAGAACCTCAAACCCAAGAAGCCCCAGGCGAGGGCATACCACATTCTCCACCACCGGTACACAACTCCCATGCAGGATCACTTAAGCAGCAACCATGTGTGTGTGTTTTTTGGTCTGAGGACTCCTTTGTTCTCTTCAAAATGACTGAAAACTCCAAAGAACTTAAGTTGCTATAGAAATTCAAACAGACATTTAAAAAAATATGTATCAACTAATTAAAAATCACAATGAACTTACTACATGTTAGCACATTTTCGTAAAAACTGACTTCTAAAAAAATAATGAGAAGAATGGCACTGTTTAACATTTTTATTTTTTCAAATTTCTTTAATATCTGGTTTCACACAAAAAAATGGGATTCTCATGTCTGTTTTTACATTCAGTCTCTTGGCATACATTTTGGTTGAGTAGATGATAAAATCCAGCCACATGTACATATATAGTTGGGAAAGGGAGTATTTTAATAGTTTTTGCAGGTAATTGTGGACCAAAACACGGCAAATGGCAGTTTCTTAAACGTTGCAATGTGGAGCCTGGAACTGTATCAAAGACTTTTTGAACTATCATACATTACAATCTATGGCTCTATCTTGTATGTGGAATGGATCTTTTACCCATGTGTGATTTTATAACATCATGTAATGGTCATTTGGAAAGTATTACTTTCCTGGGTATCACAGATCTTTCAAATGCTGACTCATTTTATTACACAGTATTCAAATCATGTAATATCACCACCAATCTCATCAGGAAAAACTTAAGCATTGGGAATTTGTAAGATAATAATAGTTGATAAAAACTTTCCAAAATTCTTTTTAAAAGGGAGGTGGGCTCTAATTGTATCATCTGCAAAAATATTTTCAGGTGTTTTCCATGAAGTGATAGGTTTGCCCCATTCATTTTAAAGAAAATGTCTCAAGTATTTTTTAGGTAATTTTGAGATCTGAGAACATATGCAAGTCTCAACAACCAGTTTGTCAGTCATTCTTTCAAGTAAAAAGGAGATTCTGTGTGGGGGGAAGTGCTTTTCCTGGAGACAGCCATTATTTCACAAGACAGCAAGAGTGCTTCGTGCACGCGCTTATGTTGTCCATAGAATATGGAAACGGGCACCACGGCAGGGAGAAAACTTTTACACATCGAACTAATGACATATCTTTTTTATATACATTTTAAAAACTCAAATTTTAACAGAAAAAAAACTTAATTTAAAAAGAGGCAAAAAGAGTTGAACAGTCCCTTCACCACTGAAGACAGAGATGACAAGATGCTCAATGCCATTAGTCATCAGGAAAAGCAAATTAAATCCACCAGGAGATGCCACTACATACCTAGAATGGCTTTAAGAAGAAAACAACACTGATCGTACCGAGTGCTGACAAGGTGGCAGAGAACCTGGAACTCTCATGTGTTAGTGGCGGGAATGCAAAATGGTACAGGCCCTTTGGAAAACAGTTTGGTTGTTTCTTAAAATTAAGTGTACACTCACCACATGACCCACAATCCCACCCCGGGTGGGTCAACAGTAATTTTGCAATTACTCTTGTGGGTTAAAAGAAAAGTTGTCTTGACTTAGTTACCTACAGTTTTGACCTCAACCTGCTGCTGCTTCCGCGGCTCCCCTGGGATGGGGCTACCGCCACCACTGCCTGCAGGTCCGAGTCGTGAGTGACTTAACTCGTTCTCATTTTCAGTCACTAGACACAACAGCCTTCATATTGATTTTCTTGCAACTCTCACTTCCTTTGGTTTTGTGCCACTGTGCTCTTCTAGTTTCTACCAGTTTTCTCTCTGCTCTTCCTCCACCTGGTCCCAGTGTTTCTCCCTCAGCAGTCTTTTTACAGCTTCTAGGTTCTCGTCAACATTCACAGGTTCAAAAGACCCCTTTAGGACTCCCCAGCTGCGTTTCCAACCCCAACCACTCACCCAGGATTCACTCCTATATTTTAGCTGCATAAAACCAAACAAACCATGTCCTCCCTACACACACAAAAAGGCAAGTATTCAAACAAAAAGGTAAAACTGGGGTTAAAAATCTGCTTCCTTCTCTAACTTCCTGTTTGAGTAAATAGTGCCACTGTTTTCCAAGATTCAAAACTTGTCTAGACAAGTGTCCTCTCTGACTCTTCCTCTCACTTCTCACCTTGCACAACCTCTACTTAAGCCCAATCACTGGAGTTGAGATCTGGAAGGAACTTTCAAGATAACTAGTCTGCACTCATTGAGCAAATAAGAGAACTGGGGCTCAGCCATCTTGGCTGCCTGCCCCGAGCTCTTCTGACTCTGAGTACGAGGCACCTTTCACTACGAAGACCTAGTCAATTCCATCTTTGTTAAGCCTCCAGACAAGTGGATTTTCTTTCTGGACTCAGTACACCTGGGATTGAGCCCTGAAAAGCTGTTTGACCACAGGCAAGTGAATAGTAACTGGGAGTGAAAACCGCCTCCTGGTTAAGAATTGATGATAGGAAACATATTAAATTTAAACTCCTCAGCTGGGTATTCCATGCCCCCCTTCCCCTAAGCTGGCCGACTTTAATATCCAACCTGATTTTCATTAACACAAATTTGGTTTCAGTAGGGAGGCCATCTTCGCACCCTCCCTTTTCTCATTCCTGGCTCTGGACTTTTGTGCGCGTTTCCCTAGCCAGGGAGAGTCCCTACACCTCTGCAAATGAAAAACAGACGTTTCCTTTAAGCCCAGATTGAGACCCTACTTGCGTCACTAAAGTGTCCTTGACCAACATTCCCACTCAGGGTCTTTCCTTTTTTCAATCTCCACAGCATCTCAACTCCATTCCAAAATTGTACACAATGCACATTGTCTTCCCCTACACTCTTCCCATTCTGCATAGTGTTCTCCAAACTAGACTACAATCTCAGGAGCCAAATATAGTATTAGGCATTCAATACATTTATAACCAATGTTTGTAACGTTGTTTTTACAATGAAACATCTGATTCTGATTTTTTTAAAAGTAGGAAATCAGATATGACTTACATCCAATTGTACTGGACTAAAGCTCCTCTGCCAACAAGAATTGTTTTTTTTCCACAGAGACTATACCGATAAACAGTTTTCTTAGCATTGTGAACAGGATGCACAATGCTTGCCTTCCAGGAGCTCATACTCTAAAAGGTTCTATCTATAATAATAAACGCGTAATATGCTAAATAGACCGGACAGCCGGACGACCTACCGGACGAAGCCGGGGCTGCGAGGGCCGAGCCCCCTGCACAAATTTCGTGCATCAGGCCTCTAGTATATAGATAAGATATGGTGAGAGGATAATACAACATAACCCCTACTATCTTGCTTTTTTGCTTACTTATGCCATTATTTCAACACTGATCCACAGCTGAGAACCTGGAAATAAAAGTATGATGGGAGAGGACATGGACATGAACTAGGGTAGAGGAACCAAACCAAAACCAGAGCGTTAGAGAAGATTCCAGAGATATCCTTGTGATGGCACCAATAGGACATGATGACCAAGTGGACACAGGACTGAAGGAGAGTGTGGAGTCAGGAGTGAAGAGGGATGAGAAGAGGATGGACCAGCCAGGCGCTTATAGGCAGGAGGAAGGAGAAGAGAAAGAGAAGATACCCGCCCAGCACCTTGGATGTGCGTGGAGGATGTGCAGTAATTAGTAGAAAAGAGAAAAGCTCTCAGGAGAGAGTTGTACCAGAGTGACCAGGATGTGGGAGGTGCACAGACACACAGGAAGTACCTGAGAACACACGGAGGATCAACCAGTGAGGCTACCCTGATGGATGGGGAGAGGACACAGGCAGCCAAAGGTGATAGGCAGAGCCAGGAGGTTCAGGCATGGAGTGTGAATTACACCACTGACCATGTGTGTAAACCACGGTGAATTGTCGGCACCCCACCCTCGCCCTAAGAGGCATCCCACCCCATCCCTCAAACGGCTTCCAGCTGTGGGCTTTTCTCCTCTGTACTCCGGACAAGACTTCAACAGTGTAAAAAATGAGCCTCAAACACCCAGTCATCATGGCATATATAAGACAGCTTTTTTTCTTTTTTAGCGAAAGTAAAGGTATATTACAGACAAGCTCCCTACTACAGGGAGGGGACCCAAGCGGGTTGTCTTGTAAGGCAGCTTTCTAACTGGTCTCCTTTTTCATCTTTCCTCACACTGATTTATCCAACACTATTACCAAATCAACCTTCCTGAAACCCTGATTTCATGTAATTTCTCTGCTTTAAAAATCTCTGGTGGCCTCAAGATAAGACTCTCCTTGACCCTATCCTACCTTGTACTTCCTGTGAAGTGTTAACAGTATAAGAGTTAGGCAGTTCACATTTGAATCCTGGGTCTACCACTTATTAGCTGTGTAACCCTGGCAAGTGACTTAACTCCTCTGTGCACCCTCAGCCTCATCTCTAAAACGTGGCCCATACCCACATCAGAGAACTGTTCTTATGAAGTGAAAATCCTTATAAAGTGCTTACTTAGCACACAATGCCTGGCATAGGAGTGGCATCCTTTAAATGCTAGCCATTATTATTATTACTCCCCAAATAAACTTCCTACTCCACCTGGGATGTTTGCCTTGATGATTTCTAAACAAACAATGCTCATCTCAGGGCCTTTGCTGCTGGCGTTCCCACCCATGAACCACCACCACCAAAGGGTATTCGTTCAACATTTATGCTAACAAATCCAAGGTACTGGGCTGGAAATACAGGAAAAGTAAACAGTCCCAACCCTCAGAGCTCATAATCTAATAATGCAAGACAGAGGAAGAGGTGCCATAAGGTATTACAGGTGCCAAAGGAAGCAAGCATTTCCTGGAGACAGTGGAGATGCTGACACCAGATGCTGGAAGCCGTGTGGGTGAATCAGCCAGAGGAGGAGCATGTGGAGTAGGAGCATCTAGTACTGGGGTCATGGTCACAGTACTGGGCCAGGCATGGGGGCAGGGAGAGTGAGAGGAGGGGAGATAAGGCTGTGTCATGAAGGTCATGAAGTGCTTGGGCTTTATTCTGCAGGCAACAGGCAGCCGCTAAGTGATAATAACTCAGAAGCCCTGCTTGGGTTCTGTGCTGCCTAATACGGAAGCCACATGACGACTGAATGCCTAAAATGCCCTAGTGTGACTGAGGAACTAAATTTTTAATTTAAATTAATTTAAATTGAGAAACTAATATGTAATTCGGTTGCTGGAAAAATTTTAAGTATGCTCGGAATAGTTTGGGTATGTGACTCTACTTTCTCAACACTAAGTTTAGTAACCCTAAGCGCAGATAAGTATTTCTCATGAAAAAAAAAATTTAGCATTTAAATTAAGATGTGCTGCAAGTGTAAAATACACACTAGACTTTGAAAACTTAGTTCAAAAAAAGTTAACGATCTCATTAATAATCTTTACTGATCAATCACATGTTGAAATATTTTGAACCTATTAGGCTGACGATGACATTAAAACTAATTTCGCCTGCTTATTTTTGCTTTTTAACGTGGCTACTAGGAAACGTGAAATGGCATCTGTAGCTCCCATTGTATTTTGGATAGAACTGATCCGATACAGCCAGGGGTGCATGGAAGAGGAAAGAGAGTGGCAGCAGGAAGAACAATGAGAGACTCCTCGGTAAGAGTCCAGATGAGACAGGCCTGAATTACCTAAATTCTGCCCACCTTCAAAACCTAACGCAAGACTTAATACTGCCTCCGAAAGCTTTTCCAGTCATAACCATCCCTAATGAGTCACCTTTCTCCAAACTCCTGGGGCATTTATCTTCTGTAGTATTCACTACAGCACTTCAGCACTTGCCACCTGTCATTTCTACTTAAGTTTTACGGTCAGTTGTTTCTCAGATTAGACTATCAGCTCCTAGGGTAAGGGCCACAATCTAGGCGTCTTTAATTTTTCCACGTTGTGTGATGCATTTTCAGTACTTTTAATGAGCAGAACTACATGGCTTCTCAAATACTCTGTCACATATACAGTCCGGAGGCACCCATGTGGCTAACTTTACCTATGCACAGCAGAAGATATTGAAAATCTCATTTCCTTCAGGCACATTACAGACAATAAAATGATGTCAAAATCAACCAAAACTCCAGGCCAATAAAGCAGTGATATCTAATCAGTGAGCAAACATCAGGAGACTGTATTGGATACTCTCAGGAAATAACAAATGTCAAGATGGCAGAGCAATTTAACATTTTCACAAATTCCATTAAAAATCAAACAAAAAATTTCTGATTTTCTCTGATCCCCAGTGCCAGAGATTACCTTTGCAACCTAAGCATTTAAGAACTTTCATTCAGGGGGAAAACACACAGCTTTAACATTTAAAAATTAATCCCTAAATCAATCCTTTCAATAAATAACACATTTTCCAGATAGAGAGTGACATATTACTAAAAAACAAATCTACAACTTAACATTTTCCCATCTAAATTAGAGTAAGGTGAAGAAAACCCTTTTTAGGGAATTGTCAATAACTGTATATTTTACTGTATCTTGGTTAATGAAGTATTTCACTTCAAGTACCATTTACATTTTTCTAAGAACCCTTAAAAAAATTTAACACTCAGGCACCAGGTCAACTTGCTCCACTACAGAAACAGGAAGCCAGTAGCAACTAGTTGAAAGCAAAGGGACACTGGATGGTTATTAGTACTAACCTTCTGGGAACTTGACAGTTCTCAGATTTGTTTGTTTTGACATTTAAAACATAAAGCTGACAGGTTGTAACAACCTCAGAATCCATCTTTCTTGCATTTATTTAATGGCTACAAAGCTGATACAGAAATAAAATGCAATTAAAGTTTCTATCTCCATACAATCCAGCAGCAATCAAAGATGGAGTCAGGACAGCTCAAAGGGAAAAACAAGTGAGCAAACCTGTCCAACAGTCGGGGTGAAAGCAGGGAGCTGGAAAGAAAGCACTCGTTTCCTTTACCACTGTGGGAAAATCCCGGTGCTAACAGAAAGCCTAGGAAACTTTAGTTTGGCCGATTTCATTTTGTTTTCCTTCCAGCATCACCGAGCATGAACGACTGCTTTCCTCCCGGCCCATTCCTCAGTGAAAACTCCCCCACTGAATTAAGCTGCC